CATCAGCAGATGAATGGATTAGAAAACTGTGGTACATCTACACAATGGAATACTATGCTGCTGTAAAAAAAGAAGGAACTCTTACCATTTGCAACAGCATGGATGGAACTGGAGAGCATTATGCTTAGTGAAATAAGCCAGTCAGAGAAAGATAAATACCACATGATCTCACTCATTTATGGATAATAAAGACCATTATAAACTGATGAACAAAAATAGATACAGAGGCAGAGCAGCATCGAACAGACTGTCAAACTACAGCGGGAAGGCTGGGGAGGGTTGGGGGGTGGGAGGGGGGTAAGAGATCAACCGAAGGACTTGGTATGCATACATATAAGCATAACCAATGGACACAAGACACTGGGGGGTAGGGGAGGCTGGGGGAATGTCAAGCGGGGAAAAAAAGGAGACATATGTAATAATCTTTGTAATACTTTAAGCAATAAAACAAAATTAAAAGAAATAAATAAAATAAAGGGCCAGATGGTTGAGAACCACTGCTCAAAAAAACAAAACAACAACAACAAAAAAACACTCAAATTTCGGTCAGAGTATTAAGGAAACAGCCACCGAGTGTAAAGGGGATTAGTCTGGCACTAACTGAAAGCGAACTAGTCTCTAAGGACCCGGGTCAGTGGTCGTCCACCGCCAGGGCCTGCCCAGGAGAGTCTGACTCCCGACTGGCTGAGGCCTGAGGGTCGCAGCAGCCTCTCTGTCCGAACGGAGCCGAGGTGGCGGATTACAGCAACCAACCTGTTCCCAATCCAGAGACTCGACACCGGAGCGTAACCGGGTCGCCCAGGTTCAGTCCAAAATCAAAACTCCCCTTCAGATTAAGGGATTTAAATTAAAGGAAACTGAAAGTAAAAGGAAAATGAATTTTTTTGAAGAATAAATTTACAGCAGAGCCGAACTTATGAACAAAATTTTGAAGAAACTAGTTAAAACTCTCCCTAATTTTCTAAGAAAACGAACAACGCTCCATCTAGAAACCACTCACTGCAATAGGAACACACCGCATACACAAGGATTCTGTCGGTTTGGTGGGTACGGACCAAGACTCCGCCTCACTCAACACCATGCAGAAGGTTAAAGACTTCTTCAACAAGCTTTCAAAAGAAACAACCCTGCCGAGCCTAACATACCATCAGAAAGCAAATGGAGACGGTAGAGGACGCCCTGAGGACCAAATATAAAATCCAGACAGCCCCTGGCCTCAGCAAAAACATAGTAGATCCTAACAATCTGATTCCAATAATACAGTGGTTCTCAACCTGTGGGTCGAGACCCCTTTGGCGGTTGAACGACTTTCACAGGGGTCGCCTAAGACCATCCTGCATATCAGATATTTACATTATGGTTCATAACAGTAGCAAAATTACAGTTATGAAGTAGCAACAAAAATAATTTTATGGTTGGGGGTCACAACATGAGGAATTGTATTTAAAGGGCCAGAAGGTTGAGAACCACTGCAATAATAGAAAGAGCGCCACCACAGGAGGTAGTAGGAATATTACTACAGACAATCCATCACCTGCAGGAGGACACTGACAAGGGAAGATCACTAGCACAGAAGGTCGTTGCAAAATACTCCAGCAAGCCAGTGTAACGCCCTGGACGCAAGCCGTTGTCACAAAGAACCAAGAGACGCTTCTCATGCAAACAGCAAAGGGTTTATTGTTTCCAACATGCTGGGGCTCACAGCTTACTCTGAGCACAGAGAAGCGGCTGCAAGCCCCGACCAAGAGTTTAAGCACAGGTTATATACTTTTTCAGCAAACGGGGGAAGTAACTTGGGGTCATTCCATTGGAGATCTGGCGCCATACAACGTACATCTATCTGCTTTCGGTGGGGAGGGAATGTAGTTTGGAATTTTTTACTAATGATCTGGCTTTCTAAGTGAGTTAATGCCTGTCTGGTTTCTTATCAGGTTGTTTGTTCTGCAGCCATCTCCCGTAACCTCCCTGGCTGCAACTGTCTCCCATAAAAGTTGTTTATTACATCTGCCCCTTCTGACCTTCCTGATTACCCTGGTGCCGTTTGTTCCATCTGCCTTTTCTGACCCTCCTGACCTGATTATATTGGCGCCTCTCATTCTCCCCTTTTTCTGTGGACGGTTTCTAATCTTAGAGACCTTCAGGCTCAGCTAAGGCTGAGTATTGTTGCCTGATAATAAGGAGTTTAATGTCCCCTACCCTCTGTTGTATGAATTTCATAATTTTATTTATAATACAGGGTCCTATAGAGAGGATTAACAGCAGGATTATGAGCGGTCCTGCGATTGCTGACAACAGGGTTGTTAACCATGGCGACTGTGTAAATCAAGATTCAAACCAACTTTTCTGCGCCTCCCTTTCCTTCTGTCGCTCGGCCAGCCGCTGCCGAAGTTTGGTCATGGACTCCTCTACTACCCCTGTATGATCGGCATAAAAACAACACTCTTCCCTGAGGGCTGCACAGAGCCCTCCTTCCTGCATAAACAGGAGGTCGAGACCACGTCTGTTTTGCAGGACTACCTCTGAGAGCGATGTGAGGGAGTCCTTAAGGGCAGTTATAGAGGTTTCTAATTCCTTTAAATCCTGATCTATAGCAGCCTGGAGCTGATGCATATGGCTCGACCCCTGGATAAGGGCAGTAGTTCCAGTTCCTATCCCCACTGCTGCTCCAACTCCTAGGAGGACTGCTATAGTGAGAGACACTGGTTTCCTCTTGAAGCGGGTGACACGCTCCCCCACCATTTCCTCGAATGAACTTGCATCATGATATAGTATTCGAGGAAACAAACGGACCATAACACAGAAGTGATGAGAACTATTGAATATAGCAGTGGAAATACAAGGGGTCAGACCGGTACTGCAGGCCCACCAAGTTCCTGCCTCTAGAGCCAGATACCCAGCTGTGGAGTTTATAAAGACAGTTCTGGCACAGAGTTGCTGGTGGCTCAGTGGGGGGGTACCTATGCAGAGTCCTCTGCCAGAAACCTCAGGGAGGGTTAGCTTGTGATCTCCTCCCCAATTGCAGGCAGAGCTTGTGGTCAGGGTATAAGTTCCGTTTACTGCAGTCCCCTCGTAATAAGGAGGTGTTGCCGAGAGGCAGAGCCAGCAAGATCGAGTCAAATTACTTTGGGTTGCATTAAGAGCAGTGTAGGCCCCACTTACGAGGTTAAACAGGGGGAGCCTACCACTTGGGCTTCTCAGGGTAGGAGCCCCACTACTCGGAGTCTGAACAGGGTCGGCAACTTGGGGAGATTCTGTTACTGGCCCCGCCAAGTAGTGGGGCCGGAGTGGGGAGACCGGACGGACAGCTGGATTGGGCCCCACTGGGACTGGTGTGGTCTCTTGTTGTAGTTTGATAGTAAACCAGAGACCAAAGTCATATTCGGTGACATAAAACCTAAGCCCCCATGTTCTTCCCTTATACCAGTGGGAAAGCTTGTCCGCCCCTCTGCCTCGTTCTGTTAAGGAGATATTTAATCCATTACACAAAGCTTCTGTTTTACATTCCCCCCTTTTGTTGCTCCAGTGGACAGTTATCCAGTCTGAACTGGATCGGGTGGTCCAATAAGCTGACCCCGTGGTTTCACACCCCCATGCTGCGCAATAAAGGGATTCAGGCCCACCACAGCTCCGTATCTTAGTCCGACTACGATCATCTTTTGGGCAAACATAAAAGGGGAGGTAGCCTAGGAGGGTGCGTTTACCATAATGCTGGCACCCCGCATTGACTTCGCCACTGGGGTATTCCCAGAAAACGAGACCAGCGGGTCCTCTAGATACCACCGGGATGTTGTTGGGGTCCTCTACCTCTGGTATGTCCCATGTGTCTAGGCCGACAGCTAGCTGGCATACGTCTGGAGATAAGGTAGGCCACCAGCTACCCGGAGTATGGACACCTCTGGTTGACCAGACTACTTGCCCTGTTGGGTTGATGACTTCCCAGGTTAAGGTTACAGGGGCATGGGGGTTACTTGCCATCGGTTTGGCCAGGCAGGGGCTTACGACAAAAGCGAAGCTTAAGAGGGTTATCAGTCCTTTCCATTGTCCATTCAGGTCCCGGTGGCGGTGCAGGCTTGAGATGAGAGGCATGGATCCAAGGAGTGATGCCATCTACTTTAACCGCAGTCGGAGTGGTCAGCAGCACCACGTAAGGTCCTTTCCATCGGGGCTCCAAGCTGTGGGTCTGGTGCCTTTTCATGAACACCGAGTCTCCAACGTGGAAGGAGTGGGGCACTTTGAGGTCTCCTGGCTGATAAGCAGAGGCCAAGGGCTTCCAGACAAATTGCTGGATTCCCTCTAAAGCCTTTAACCTGGCAAGTAAAGGAGTATGGGGTAATGAGTCTTTGTCTATGGTGGGTGACATTTTTGAGACCGGAGGTGGGGTTCCGTACAGAATTTCAAAAGGGGTGAGATTATACATAGAGGGTGAGGGCGTGTTCCGAGCACGGAACAGGGCATAAGGTAGGAGCAAGGTCCAATCCTGAACGCCAGTCTCTAAGGTCAATTTAGTTAAGGTCTCCTTAATGGTTCTATTCATTCTTTCTACTTGCCTTGAACTTTGGGGACGATAAGCACAATGTAATTTTCAATTAATCTCCAATACCTTGGCCATTTCCTGACTTATCTGGGCCACGAAAGCAGGTTCGTTATCTGACCCAATTACCTGGGGCAGTCCGAATCGAGGAAAAAGTTCTTCCATAATCTTTTTAACCACCACTTGCGCTGTTTCCCTTCGGGTGGGGTAGGCCTCTACCCATCCTGAGAAAGTATCTACAAAAACTAAGAGAAATTTTAACCCACACTTGGCTGGTTTGATTTCAGTAAAGTCCACCTCCCAAAACTGGCCAGGTCTATTTCCTCTGAGCCTCTTTCCCTTTGATATTTGCGACGGGTGTGCATTTACAGCCTGATAGGCTCGGCAGTCTCTTGCCACCTGTTCAGCTAGTTTTCTGTTTTCCGCAGCTGCTAGAGTGAAGGGCTGCTCTTTTAATAGCTCTTGCATCTTCCTGGCCCCTAAATGAGTGAGCTGATGTACATGCTGTAAGTAGGAGGTCGCTTGTTGTTCCTTACTCCCTGTGGTTACGGGCGTCGTGTCCTCCTCAGGAGTTTTGTTCACTAGTGCTAGAACCCCTGCCCCTTTAAGAGCTGCCGCCTTTGCTTCTTCGTCTGCCCGCCGATTTCCTGTGGCTACAGGGTCCGACCCCTTTTGATGGCCGGGGCAATGAACAATAGCTAACTTGGTAGGCAGTAGGACAGCTGCTAGTAGTCTAAGGATTTCGGCCTTGTTTTTGATGTCCTTTCCAGCTGAGGTTAATAGTCCCCTTTGCTGGTATATGGCCCCATGTACATGAGCCGTGGCGAAGGCATAACGGCTATCCGTATAAATGGTAGCCTTCTTCCCCTCAGCCAGTTCTAAGGCTTTTGTGAGAGCGATTATTTCCGCTTTCTGGGCGGAGGTCCCTTCTGGTAGCCCTGCAGACCATACAACCTTGTCTTTGCTAACTACCGCCGCCCCTGCGCATCTCTTACCATCCTGCAGGAAGCTGCTGCCGTTCGTGAATCAGGTCACCTCTGAGTCTGGCAGTGGAAAGTCCTTTAGGTCACGACGGATTCCTGCTTCCTCTGCCAGGATATCCTGGCAGGAGTGTAGGACCGGGTCTGCAGCCTCATCCGGGAGTAGAGTGGCAGGGTTTAAAGCAACTGGAGGTCCGAAGGTCACTCGGTCCTTGTCTAACAGAATGCTCTGATAGTGCGTGATGCGAGCATTCGAGAGCCACCGGTCTGGGGGCTGCCTGATGATACTTTCCAGCATATGAGGGGCCACAATAGTTAGTTTCTGTCCCAGAGTCAGTTTGTCCGCATCTTTGGCTAGTAAGGCAGCGGCAGCTATAGCTTTTAGACAGCGGGGCCAGCCCCCAGCTACTGAATCCAAGCGTTTGGACAGGTAGGCTACAGGTCTTTTCCAGGGTCCCAAAGTCTGGGTCAAGACCCCTCGCGCCACTCCCCCTCGCTCCTCTATGTAAAGGGTGAAGGGCTTTTCGACATCAGGAAGCGCCAATGCTGGGGCTGATAGCAGGGCTTTTTTTATATCATCAAAGGCTCGCTGTTGTTCTGACCCCCAAGAGAATTCTGTGTCCCCCTTCAGGAGCGGGTACAGCGGGGCGGCTAGCGAGGCAAATCCCGGAATCCACAGTCTACAGAACCCAGCTGTCCCCAAGAACTCTCGGAGTTGTTTCCTGGAAGTTGGTGTGGGGATCTGCACAACAGTCTTTTTCCGCGCCTCAGTTAACCAGCGTTTTCCTCCCCGGAGAGTATACCCCAGGAAAGTAACTTCCTGTCTGCACAGTTGGGCCTTCTTAGCTGATGCCCTATACCCAAGCCGAGCGAGCTCCTGCAGTAAGGAGCGGGTCTCGTACTCACATTCTTCCCGAGACGACGCGGCCAGCAGCAGGTCATCCACATACTGGAGCAGGGTTACCTCCGGGTGCTGGGTTCTGAAGGCGCCCAGGTCCTGATGGAGGGCCTCGTCGAAGATCGTGGGGGAGTTTTTAAATCCTTGGGGCAGCCTGGTCCAAGTCAGTTGCCCTGCAAGACCAGCCTCCGGGTCGGCCCATTCAAAGGCGAATAGTGGTTGACTGCTTTCGCAGAGCCGCAGGCAGAAAAAGGCATCCTTTAAATCCAATACAGTGTACCAGCTCCTGTCAGGTGGAAGGGAACTCAGAAGATTGTAAGGGTTAGGGACAGTGGGGTGTATGTCCTGTACCCTGCTGTTAACCTCTCGTAGATCTTGCACTGGTCGGTAATCCCCGGTCCCCGGTTTCTTGACGGGAAGGAGTGGTGTGTTCCAAGCTGACTGGCCGCCTCCCTGCAGTAGCTTTAGAATATGTGGCCTGATTCCTTCCCGAGCTTCCTTACTCATGGGATACTGCCTCACCCGAATTGGAATTGCAGAGGTTTTTAAGGCAACCACTACCGGAGGTTGATTTCTCGCCAGCCCTAATCTGGCCTTCTCCGCCCAGGCATCCGGATACTCGTTAAGCCACCTTGTTACATCCTGTTCCTTTACCGGGGAGTCATACAGGCGGTATTCGTCCTCCATAGACATTGTCAGAGCTGTTACTACTGGTTGCTGGACTAGGGGGCTCAAGAACTCTACTCTGGGCCCTTCGGGGTTGAAGGTGATGCGGGCTTTTAGTTTGGTAAGCAGATCTCTCCCCATAAGGGGAGCTGGGCAGTCAGGTATCACCAGGAAGGAATGATGGACCTTTCCCCTTCCCAAGTCTAAAGTTCTTTTGGTGGTCCAGGCTCGGTATCGGCTGCCGTTGGCACCCCTCACCAGGGACCGCTTAGTTGACAGCGGCCCCAATGGTGCTTGTAATGCCGAGTAAACAGCTCCGGTGTCCACCTCAAAGTCAATAGGGGTCCCCTCCACATCAAACTTTACCCTGAGCTCGGGGAGGGGGTCCGAGCCCCGTCGCCCCTAGTCCTCATCCAGGGCCAACAAGGTAGACTGCTTGGCCTGCAAGCCCTGTTTGAGCTTAGGACAATCTTTCTTCCAGTGCCCGTACTCCTTGCAGTATGCACATTGATCCGGGTCCAAGTTTGGTCGCGGCCGTGGCCCAGCCCTGCCTCCCTTCCTGTCTCTCTCTTTACTGCTACCGACTGCCGTGGCCAGGATTTTAGTTAATGCTTTATCTCTCTTTCTATCCCTCGCATCCTCTCTTTCTTCTCTCTCCTTTTCCTTACGTTCCTCTTTCTCCTCCTCCGTCTCCCTTTTATGAAAAACTTTATCCGCTTCTTTAACTAAGTCCCTAAGAGTGAGGTCCTGCAGCCCATCAAGGCGTTGCAGCTTCCGCCTTATGTCTGCAGCAGATTGGCCAATGAAAGCCATGGCTACTGAAGCCCTCTGGCCCTCCGACTTCGGATCGAAGGGGGTAAACCTCCGATAGGCTTCCATTAACCTCTCTAAAAAGACTGCAGGAGATTCATCAGAACCCTGGACGACCTCCCTTACCTTAGCCAAATTGGTGGGCCGCCTGGAAGCTGCCCGGAGACCCGCCACGAGAGCCTGGCGATAGGAGGACAGATGCTCCCTACCTTCCGGAGTATTAGGGTCCCAGTTGGGGCGCGCTAGTGGGAAAATGTCGTCAATGATGTTCGGCAGCTGTGTCGGCCGCCCGTCCCGTCCCGGGACGTTCTTCCGTGCTTCTAGCAGAATCCGGTCTCTTTCCTCTGTGGTGAAGAGGGTCCCTAGTAGCTGCTGGCAATCATCCCAGGTGGGCTGGTGGGAAAACATGAGGGACTCCACGAGACCTGTTAGTCGAGTGGGGTCTTCAGAGAAAGGAGGGTTATTATTTTTCCAATTATATAAATCAGAGGAGGAAAATGGCCAATACTGGAGGGCCGGCATCTCCCCCCCGTTCCCATTTTCCACCATAGGCCCGTAAGGGCGTAACGGCAGAGTAGTGGCCACAGGTCCTTCATCCGGTTGGCACCGGCTCCTAGTCCGCTGTGCTGGCCCGCCGCCCGGTGGCAGCAGGGAACCCTCGAGGGTGGAATCTGGGGAGGCCACCGTTGGGGACGCTGGCCCGGGGGCTGGACCGGGTGCCGGAGACGGCACTTGGTCATGCCGCTGCGGTGCCTCGGCCGCCGGAGGCTGCAAAGGCGAAGCATAAGGTGGCGGGAAATCTAGGAGAATAAGATCAGGTTGTGAGTCCGGGAGGACCGGAGAAGCAGAGGGTGGAGGAGAGGGGAGAGCCGGCTTCACAGGGAGGATTGCTGGCTCAGAAGCAGAGACCGAGGACCTAGGGAGAGAACCAGGGGGTAAGAAGGGCTTGACCCACGCCGGGGGGTTCTCACATAAGTCCTGCCAGACCAGGATATAAGGCTCCTGGCCTGGATGTCCGTGTCGGCCAGGCTGAAAAACCAGTTTCCTTACCTCCCTGATGAGAGGCAGATGGAAGGACCCCTCCGGGGGCCATCCGACATTAAAGGCGGGCCACTCGGATGAACAAAAAGTCTGCCATTTACCCTTTTTGATGATAAGAGAAAGGTTTTGAGCTCGTCCCTTGACTTCTGACCAGCGGTCCAGGGTCAGAGACAAAGGAGTAGAGGCAGACTGGCCCATGATCGAAAACATACACACACTCGCACCAACAACAAGAAACAAAGAACAAAAGACAAGGACAGACACAACGCGTTGAGACAAAAATCAAAGGATCCAAAAAGAAGGTTTTTCAAAGCCAATTGACCCAGCTGGCAACAGAGTTTCAGAACAAACGAGAGGAATCCAGGCACCCCTGGTCCTCTCCAGACTCCACCAGGGCGTCCCCCGGGGATGTGGCCTGCGACCTCCCGACACGTCTGTCAGCCGCAGTCGGGGGAGGCTCACGCCCCTCCCCGACAGCCACCAAACTGAACAGAGCTCTGACCAAACAGATTTGCTAGCACTAACCAAACAGATTTCCAAACAGATTTGCCGGCTCTGACAAAATTCGAGCTCTCAATATCTAAGCGATCGCTATTCTTATTCAAAAAGGCGCCGTCACTTACCCCAAGAAGCGTCTGTTGGAACCCAGAGGTGGCTACAGCAATCTCGGTGGAACCTCCAAAATGTAACGCCCTGGACGCAAGCCGCTGTCACAAAGAACCAAGAGACGCTTCTCATGCAAATAGCAAAGGGTTTATTGTTTCCAACATGCTGGGGCTCACAGCTTACTCTGAGCACAGAGAAGCGGCTGCAAGCCCCGACCAAGAGTTTAAGCACAGGTTATATACTTTTTCAGCAAACGGGGGAAGTAACCTGGGGTCATTCCATTGGAGATCTGGCGCCATACAACGTACATCTATCTGCTTTCGGTGGGGAGGGAATGTAGTTTGGAATTTTTTACTAATGATCTGGCTTTCTAAGTGAGTTAATGCCTGTCTGGTTTCTTATCAGGTTGTTTGTTCTGCAGCCATCTCCCGTAACCTCCCTGGCTACAACTGTCTCCCATAAAAGTTGTTTATTACATCTGCCCCTTCTGACCTTCCTGATTACCCTGGTGCCGTTTGTTCCATCTGCCTTTTCTGACCCTCCTGACCTGATTATATTGGCGCCTCTCACCAGTAGTAGTAAAAAAGAAGGTAATCAGATTGGAAAATGAAGCAATCAGTAGAATGCACCTCCTTTTCAAGGCAGGAATTAGCAGAACTCAGAAAATGATTGATTAAAGGAGAATTAACGGACGTAGAGTGGCTTGTAAAAATATATGAACTTGGAGGCGACACGTCTATGTTAAGTGCAGATGAACTCACAGTAGTAATAGATGCAATAGAATTAGCCAAATTAAAAACAGCACTAAAGGAAATTGCAGAACAACACTCAAATACAGTAAGATCATTATGGAGCTGGATAGGAGATGCGTGGAGAAGAGCATTCCCAGCAGTGGACCTGTCTTCAGGACAGTTGTCAGAACACTGGGGTCTCTTACACAATTACAGACCCAGTTAAGGAAATGGGTGATTCTAACGAGCCTCTCTAAACCACCATGGGAAAATTCAGAGGTAGAAGGGATAGTCAAGGTACTAATAAGAAACGCCCAGATGGCTACAAAATGCAGCTTCAGAACCTTATCGCAGGGTCCAGCACTGCAGAGGATATTAAAAAGAAAATCCAACTGCACCAAGACCTGTTAGCAGAAAAGAAATTCGCCTTCACAGCAGAGGAATCAAAGAAATATTCATTCCCCATGCAACAGTATAGGGGACCTCCAAAGCCTTTACAAACATGCCAAACCAATCAAAACAGGCAGAATGACCAGTACAGACAAGGACAAGCTAATTACTGGAGAAGGAACAATCCGTTCTTCAAGAACAATAATCCATTCAGAAGTAATAATAACAACTCAGTCAGAGACAATAGTAATCCATTTAGAAATAATAATCCATTCAGGAATAATCAACCCACCCATCCACAAAACCCATTCAGACAAAATGACCCTTTTGGAAACAATAACTTATTTAGAAATCGAAACTTTAAACGAAATCCCAACCCCTTCCAAAATGGACAAGGCACTAACCCCTTTAAATAAAACTCAAATCAAATCAGGGAAACTGGTAGGGCTCCCACCGACCACAGCAAGTTCGGCAGTAGGGGGCACAAACAAATTTACCCACCCCTACCCCTTGAAACCCTCCCCAACATAAATATTACAGAAACATTTCTCATGGAACATGATAATAGACCATACATAACACTACAAGTATCACTACATGGAAGTCATTTTCAAAACCACTCATTTTTAGTAGATACAGGATCACAAGTCTCTTTACTAAAAGGCACAGTAACACACAACAAAGTAGTCACAGAAGGAGTAATGGGCAACATAATCTGAACAGCGCCCACTCCTGGACGCATATAAAGGAAAGAAAATCCCAGCAACCTTTTTGATAGCACCAGAAATTCAAAACATTATAGGTATGGACTTAATCCCACAACTCTTTAGTCACATCATACATAAACCTACATTACATAAAATACAGACATTCTTAACAGCACTACAAATACCTCCATTAACATTACCAGAACCAAATACACATTCATTCACACCTCAAAGCCCTCTAAAAGGAGGACATGATGATGGAACCAAAGCACTTAAAAAACTTCTGGAAGAGGCTAAAATAGAACCAGGCAGGTCACACATTTATAACAGCTCAATCTGGCCTGTAAAAAAGCCTAACGGCACCTACAGGATCACAATAGACTATTGCAACCTGAATAAGGCCTCACCACAGACAGATGGCTGCCTGCCTGACGCACAAGAAGTAATCAATATGACCCAAAAAGCCAACCCGAAACGCATGGCAGCAATTGACCTATCAGACATGTTTTCCGCCATCCCAATAGCTAAGGAATCCAGACCTATTACCACAACTACATTGCAAGGTAAGCAATCTCAATTCAAAAGACTTCCACAAGGATACAAAAATTCACCTACAGTTGCACACAATTTACTTGCCAATAACATCGACCCCACCAAATGTAAATCTACAATTATACAATACATAGACGACATCCTACTCTATAACAATGACAAGGATACCCTTCAAACTGACTTAGATGCACTAGTATCTCATTTGAGATCACTAGGCTGGACAATTAATCCTGACAAAATCCAGCCCCCAGACACCAAAACCACATTTTTAGGCATCCACTGGAGTTCTGCAGGCAGAAACATACTGAACAAAGTAATAGAGAAATTGCTAAACCTAAAAGGCCCAACCAACAAAAAAGAAGCACAACAATTAATGGGACTTTTCATGTACTGGAGACAACACATACCATATCTGGCAGACATTGCAAAACCTATATACAAAGTCACCAGGAAAGCAGTATCTTTCATATGGACCCAAGAACAGGAACAAGCATTTAAACAATTAAAGGATTACATACACCACCTTCAATCCCTACAAAGTATCGGACCAGGAGACAAAATAGTACTAGGCATTAGTTTCATCGCAGAACATGAAACTAGTTGGGGACTAGACAAAAGAGGAACAGAAGACAAAAAACTAATGCCTGTAGGATTCTGGACTCAGAGATTCCCTGACTCTTACCACAAATTCTCTCATTTTCAGAAACTAATCTGGACACTATATGTGGCATTTTGCATGTGGAGTCCCTGACAGGACTTACCAGCCGTGGGCAAACTACGGCCCGTTTGAAATGAATAAAACTAAAAAAAAAAAAAAAGACTGTACCCTTTTATGTAATGATGTTTACTTTGAATTTATATTAGTTCACACAAACACTCCATCCATGCTTTTGTTCCGGCCCTCTGGTCCAGTTTAAGAACCCATTGTGGCCCTCGAGTCAAAAAGTTTGCCCACCCCTAACTTAACCCAATAGCCGTGCGCAGCACATTGCCCCTTAAGGCATGGCTCAAAATGTCAGCTGAAGAATTGGCAGGTTCCCAAATGGACGAAAAGGTTCTCTCGGGGAAGTGGTACATTAACACACGAGAAACCTCTGGCTCCAGTGAACCAGCCCTCCTCACCGAAGAGGTCAACAAACTTGAGGTGGAACCACCTACCTGTGCCAACAAGTTTGTAAGACCACCCGATCCGATCGGTGTGAAAGGGCCACAATATAGCCCTGAACTTAACAACGCCTGGTTTACAGACAGATCAGTTTCCGTAACCGGTGACCAGTGCGAATGGAGAGCAGCAGCCTTCAATCCAGCGACATCACAAGTGCTAACGGCGACTGGTAGGTCCAAATCTGCTCAACATGCTGAATTCATAGCTACATATTTAGCCTTTAAGGACTCAATTGACAATCATAAGCCCAAAATTTACGTCTTTTCCGACTCATGGGCAGTCTGTAAAGGAATCACTGAATGGTCAAATGGCAACAATCAGGCTGGTTAATTAATCACAAACCTTTATGGTCACAAGACTATTGGATAAAACTCTACGGCCTCTCCAAACAAATTAAAATATACATGACACGAGAAACCAAGATGGTGGCATAGGTAAACACCAGAAATTGCTGCCTCCCACAACAACTTCAAAAGTACAATGAAAAGACAAAACGGACATCATCCAGAACTACAGGAAGGCTGGCTGAGTGGAAATTCTACAACTAGAAGGAAAGAGAAAAGCATACCGAGACTCAGAGGAGCTGCGGAGGTGGAGTGCAGAGGTACGAAGGCTCGAGCACGCGCGGGAAGGGGCTGGCACCTGAGGACGTGGCTGTCTTTTTGAATCGGGAGGGAGCCACAAGCTCCCGACTGCTCTGAACTCCAGTTCCAGGAAGTCTCTGGGGACCAGACTCATACGGGGAGAAACTGGACTGTCTGGCAAAGGGCAGAACTCAGAACTCAAGGGTTGCTTTCTCTCAAAGGTGCTTGCAGCGATTACCGGGACACTGAGACACGGGGCCCCTTAGGGCAGAGCTGAGGATCAGCCATAGCTGCTTGCTCTGCCCTGTTGATTCCCTGAGACCCCGCCCCACCCAGGCTGCGGCAGAGGCTTTTGCATATGAATGCCCAGGCCCTTCGCAATCTGAAAATTACCTAACAAATTGCAGCTGGGCCAGACAGACCCAGAACTTCCAAGAGAAGTCCCAAGGCCCCACAGCGGCTT